CATACAATGTATAGACACATGTTTTGTTGTATACAATGTATAGACACATATCTCGTTGTATACATTGTACAGCAACATATCTCGTTGTATACAATGTATAGAAACATATGTCGTTGTATACAGTGTATAGACACCTATCTCGTTATATACAATGTATAGACACATATCTCGTTGTATACAATGTATAGACACATATCTCGTTGTATACAGTGTATAGACTCATATCTCGTTGTATACAATGTATACCCACATATCTCGTTGTATACAATGTATAGACACATATCTCGTTGTATACAATGTATAGACACATATCTCGTTGTATACAATGTATAGACACATATCTCGTTGTATACAATGTATACCCACATATCTCGTTGTGTACAATGTATAGACACATATCTCGTTGTATACAATGTATACCCACATATCTCGTTGTATACAATGTATAGACACATATCTCGTTGTATACAATGTATAGACACATATCTCGTTGTATACAATGTATAGACACATATCTCGTTGTATACATTGGATAGACTCATATCTCGTTGTATACAACGTATAGACACATATCTCGTTGTATACAGTGTGCATACAGTGTACATACCAGACATAGTTTATGGCCTAATTTCATCAAGCGATATGTATTCATGGTTTGTTTATTCCAAGTGACTTTTTCAAATATCCCCCAAAATAATTGGTCGACATTTGAAATCATGGCTGAATGAAAGATTTGCTTAAAAATTGTAACTAAAGAGAAAACAAATGTATACAATGTATGTTCGGGAAAATGTTAGCACTTCACGAAGAATAAAAATGTCATATAAGGCTCCGTGAAAAAAATGCACTGGTCACATGCTTCCAGTCACCCCATAATTTCCAATAGTCGCCGCGCCACAACCTGTTCAATATGGTGTAGACTACATTGTTTGTTTACGTGGACCTCAATACGCGATATCACTTTTACTTGGAAACTATGAAAAGCATTGTATAGTCTAAAATAAAATAAGGCGGGAGTTGAGAGGGATTTACAATAACGTACGCTGATGTATTGATGCAAGAAATATTTACGCAGTTGTTTTCAGTATTGTCGAACACGGTAAACTGCGCCACCAATTCCGGCACTAATTACGGTGGGCGTATCCCGGGGCTCTTGAAACAGTCTAAGTCACGTGATATATATTCGATGCAATCGCCATCTTGGCACACCTTTTGACGACGTTGTGTATGCTGTGTTCTACTCGACATTTGGCAGATTTAAATTTAACGGAGAGACCAACGCAATTTAAAGATTCACGTGTAATGTAACAAGGTCTCGGACAGTAATATCGTTTATCGTAGAAGTTTCCTAATTGTGTGCTAAAACTTAGGTTAGATTTGTTTTTTCCCCAAAATGAGTTCAGACGGCGACATTCCTATCCCCCGACTGTGCCATCTAGTTCGGGGAGATAAGGGCTACGGGTTCAACTTACACGGCGAAAAGGGGCACCATGGACAGTTCATCCGTGCAGTTGATAAGGGTGAGTATCTGTTGTATTAAAGTGACGTCGGTTTTGCCGCTTCACCGACAGTCGGTGTACCCGGGAAGTGTGTTCATGTGTGTGCAGTACGCGGTCCACACAGATAATTGTACCAACATGGCAACAAATTATAAATATGCATGTCCGAATTTGACCCACATTTTGACCGACATCCATGCTATGAACCTGATGATTTGCCCCCTCCACAAATGGCATTGCGGTTCGTTTGCATAACAATGTAACGTAATTTACATATTGACAATTATGGAGAACAACAGGTATTGGTATTGTAAAACAGCCTTGCTCAATGCCTGGGAGAATACTGGTAAACCGCTGTAGGTACATAAAATATATCTCTTGTTTTACCCTGCAATATCAGATTTATTAGTCCCTGAAAACGGGGACTTATGTTTTGACCTCCGTGTGTGCGTGCGTCTGGACCTGTATCTTAGAAATGCCTGGACCAATCACGATCAAACTTCACACATACATCATACATGATATTATACATATGCACGTCAATTTGTTTCACAATCTGATTCAAGATGGCCGAATGGCGGCCATTTTTGTGCTAAAAATCATCAAAATCAAGCATTTCTCGGCTGTTTACAGATGGATTATGTTCAAACTTGGTATATGCATTAGACATTATAGGACCTTAGTGCACATCGCTTTGTTTTACGATCTGATTCAAGATGACCGAATGGCGGCCATTTTTGTGCTAAAAAATCCTAAAAATCAACCATTTCTCAGCTGTTTACAGATGGATTATGTTCAAACTTGGTATATACATTAGGCATTATGGGACCTTGATGCAAATAATTTTGTTTTTCAGATAAGATTCAAAATGGCCGACTGGCGGCCATTTTGTATTAATGAATGGTTCTTGTGCCATATCTCTGACTTGCTTTCACTGATTATTTTCAAATATTTATGTTTAAATGTTCATTATACATCACGTCATAGATAAACAGATATATTGGTTTGACGATCCTATTCAAAATGGCCAAATGTTGGCCATTTTTGTGCTAAACAATCATCAAATATCAAGCATTTCTGCCATTTCTGGATGGATTTCGTTCAAACTTGGTACATATATTAGACATTAAAGGTTCCTGATGCACATTATTTATTTTTCAGATCGGATTCAAAATGGCTGTCTGACTGCCATTTTGTTTTAATGAATGGGCTTCTAGACCCATATCTCCGACTTGTTTTGACTGATAATATTTTCAAATTTTAAATATTCATTATACATCATGTCATAGATAAACAGATATATTGGTTCAAAATGATTCAAAATGACTGAATGGTGGTCATTTTTGTGCTAAAAAATCATCAAATATCAAGCATTTATGGGTGGATTTTGTTCAAACTTATTTTTCAGATTGGATTCAAAATGGCTGACTGGTGGCCATTTTGTTTTAATGATTGGGCTTCTAGAGCCATATCTCTTAAATGCTTTGACTTATTATATTTAAATTTTATATATTCATTATACATCATGTTATATATATATACATGTATTCAAAATGGCTGATTTTGAATGCTGTTCTAGAGCAATATTTCCAAATATGGACAAGTACTTGTTTGAAGATCAGATACAAATGTCAATCATTGTAATGTTAAAAAAATCATATTCCTGACATGGTTATATTCCAGCTATATTACTATAAACAAAACTATATATCTTAAATTTGATAACTGACAGGGACTGTGCCATGCATGGCTTGTTAAATTTGTGTTGTAAATTTTTTTTTCCAAAGGCTCAGGGCAAATTAAAATCACTACACAAGTTTAATAAATCTGATATTGTCACAAATGTGATATCCTGTTTATCCATTTCAAGGCTAAAACAGTGATCACAATTTGTGAGCACATATTTTAAGACATCAGAGAGCATTCTGGTCATCATATATGAACATGGTTCCTGTAAAGTTACCCAATTGTCATTAGGAAATTAGTTATATTTAATGCCATCACTATATTTATGGATTCAGGGATACATTGTTAACATACATGTAATTATTTATTTTAGAGTTGATTCTCAAATGTATTGAGAATAATTCAGTCTGTTCAGTTTTTTAATTACATATTATTTTCAATTCTTGGCATGTAAATATTGTGAATTGTAACTCAATGAGTAATATTTCATACAGTTTGGAGCTTGAAAAGAAATTCTTAGTGGATGATAACACAGGAAATGTGTTCTATTTGTTAACCACACCCAGAGCCCTTCATTAAGTTTCTTTTATGATGAAAGAAGCAATATTTGTTTTCATCTTTTAGTTTAATCTTGATATGTATTCTTTGGTAAATAAATTGCAAGTAATTTGTCAACAAGCATTGTATACATTTTTTTGTACCAACCATGTCTGAAATAAGACATTTTCCCATGGTTTATTTTTTTTCTCCGGATGGGAGTGGGAGGGGGGGGGGGTGTTATTCAGAGACAAATTGACTCACAAAAGTGTAAGGAAATACCAGATGTAGTATGAACAACTCTGTTTTGATATTAAACATTTGACGATACTCTCCATTGTAATTGGGACAGAATAGTTTTGTATGACTGTCTCAATTACTACATTGATGAGTGATTGTCTGATAACACTGGTTGTCAATGCCTTTCACATTTCTTTTACATCAATATAATTGTACGTACTTCCTAAAACCCACATAACAAGTAAAATCATCATTATTTCAATATATACATGTATGTATGCCTTGTTTGTCATTCAATCCTTGCTTATGTCTATCTGACAACATCTGTAACATTTGAATATGTTTTATAAATTTGTCACATGTATCAATTGTGATATGATTCACCAGACTTTGCAGAGTTGTATTCTAAATAATTTGTTACTGCAGGATATGGTAAATGGTGCATTTCAATATATACTTGCATCATTTCTGACAATAACAATTATATTGAAATTTGTCTTATTTACATTGTATTTTATCATATATATGTACAACTGAACTATTGATGGAGCTCCAAGGCCTTTTCTGAAAGACCTTGTCACATGCGAATGTATTACCATGGCAACAATTACATGCTTGTCGTCTTTTGAGTGGGTGGATTGGTTATTTTGCTTCATCGCCAAGAAGCATCTCATCTCATCTCATCTTTTATTGTATAAAATTTCATGTAACCATTTTCTTCATTTTACCGATTCAGAAACTAATACAGTTTGAAGATTTTAGTTGCCATGCTTGGGAATTTACCTGGGGAGTATGCTGTACATATTACTGTGGTTTCTAATATAATTTTTATAATTCTTTTGTTAGATTCACCAGCTGAAGAGGCAGGCCTCAAACCTGGAGATCGTGTTATTGAAGTAAATAACACAAACATTGAAAGGGAAAATCACTCTCAAGTTGTTGCCAGAATAAGAGCTGGTGGCAATGAAACTACACTTCTAGTTGTTGACAGAACAGCAGATGAATACTACAAAAAAAAAGGAATAACTGTAAAGCCAGATATGGTAATCACTAGTAATGCAAAACAGAATGGCACAGTAGAAGCTGAAGAAATTATACAGACCACAACTGTTACAGCAGAAATTAACGGAGAAGTGAGGAAAGAAGAAATAGAGGTAGTTGAATCAGTGCCCCCAGAAGCTGAAGAATTACCAATCACTTCGGAAGTTCACATTAATAATACACCAGAACCAGAGATAGAATCACCAAGAGAACCAGAGCCAGTTTCTGTGCCAGAACCAGTAGTAGTAGAAGTAACTGCAGTGCCAGAGCCAGAGCCTATCAGGAATATAGTTGAAGAGACACCAGAACCACCCAGAGAACCAGAACCACCCAAAGAACCAGAGCCAGAACCAGCCAGAGAACCTGATCCACTCAAAGAACCAGAGCCAGAACCGGCCAGAGAACCAGAACCACCCAAAGAACCTGAACCAGAACCACCCAAAGAACCTGAACCAGAACCACCCAAAGAACCAGAGCCTGAACCTACACCAAAAGCAGTACTGGCACCAGAACCAGTCAAGGTGCAGAATAAAGAAGAGCCTAAAAGAGAAGCGCCTCAACCTCAACAACCAAAGGTAAGCTATGCATAAGTATTTTTTTCAGACTCCAGATATTATACTTGCTGTTTGTTGTCATTTCCAGTGAAACTAATCTTGTGTCGTCGAGTACGATTGTCACAATGCTACTCTCTGATGGGAACCATTGAGAATTAGGTCATGTTGAACAATCCAAACTGTGTCAACTAAATGTTCTGTTGTATGCGACAGCTGCAGTTTCCACTAAGAATTGTGGTTTTCTGAATTCACATTTGCATGTGGGCAACTTCTAATCCCAGTGCATAACTAACGCATGAACACACTGTATTATCATACAAAACATATAGAGTTTAATGTGTAACTGTGCCTGGAGAAAATAAATCATTTCATGGTAAAAACTGCAAAAGCACAGTTACATGTACTTATCCTATAGATCCTGACATCTGACATCAATTGCGTTCAATCTTTATACATGGCAGATCCATATCTCAGTTATACATGGGCAGCTATTTTCCATCTGCACTGAACATGTATATAAAGGGACCATAAATTTTTTCAGATTATATTGAATGACTGAATGCAAATAATAAAGCCATGTCTCTAACATTAACTGATTGTAATCAAACTTTATACAACATTATATATGATGTCATTTGTTTTATAATCTGATTGAAAATGGCTTTACTATTGAACTGACGGGAACTGTTTGAAATTAATTTTAATCATGATTTACTAAAGTGTTAACTTTATCATAATTCTTTGACAAATCTAACCTTGGTGAACCTGGACAGGATGGGACATGCCTTATGTAAAGTTTAAAGATCAATTACTACATGTATAAACTCACTAATTATTCACTGGTTTTAAATCTACTAAATTTAATGCATGTGAACTTGTAAAATAACTATAGTAGACGTATTCTAGATAATTTTATCAGACCTTCAACTCTATTTTTGTTTCCAATCAATCTGTTATATACTTTTTACTGCGATAGGATTAGTGCCACAGAATTCAGTATATTATTTGATCAACACAACCATTAAAATACATCTAGTTTTTTTGCATGCATATTGTTGGGTCTTTTTTGTCGCCAACTTCCTTATGTGTAAAAACAGCCGAGTAGTTTTTGAGAAGTGTTTATTAGATTCCTGCTAGACTACCGTATGTAAATTTACATGTAAACCCATGCTTCCCTTTCTTGATGTTCTCTACCACCTCTACTTGGCCTAATATCTTTCCCCGCCTTCATAAGATTTGTGTCTCTATATACTCAATGCAATGGGAATTGCTATTTGTCCAGAGATAAAGCCTTCACTTTTAAGTTTTAAAATGTAGGCATTGCTGCATCATACCGGTGTACAGTGACACTTGCCTAGAGTTATAGTAATTTTATCAAACAAATTACTTTTGGCCTACTGAATGAATATAATATTTACGAGAGATTATAAAGGCAATCAGTTTAAATTGTAAGGTTATAGGACAGGTCTGTTTTATGACAGTGGTTAGTATTTAGTCAGGTCATAGGACAGGTCTGTTTTATGACAGTGGTTTTAGAAGGATCACTACTGAACATTGTATTATCAGGTGTGGGTGGTTTCATTGTTCCACTGTATGTAATGAAATTATTGATGTCAATCTCATTGTTTTACATTCTAATTTCAATTTCACAAAAGGTGATGAATGAACCCCACCCAGGTTTCAGAAGTGTGTTGTATCGAGGGATTAATAAAACACCAAACCTTTACTGGAACAGTCACTGTGTCTTGTGTCTCATTAAAGCCTTGGTTAAACTTTACATTTAAACAAAATACTTCCCTATGTGATATTCAATCTGTTTGAGAGACCAAGCCCATTTTTGTTACCTTTTACAAAATAAACCTATATAAGTGTGGTGCTGACCTTCAGCCTATGTTGAAAATGCATTTGGTTCAAAATTACTAATTTAAAAAAATACCATCAGTTCAATGGTTTGTTTTCATTTTTTAATGCTTAAGTTAGAATCAAACCAGTGGTCTAGAAAATCTGAGGTGTACGTTGGTAAACTAAATACAGCATAATTTTTAGAAGCCAATAAATTGTGAAATCTGCTAAAAAATTAGACCTCATAAGAAATGTATATAAAGATGTTTCGCAGTGCTAGCCATAGATGTTTTTCTTAATTTTTAAGGGGGGGGGGGAGGGGGAGAGGTGTCATAAGGTGAATGCAAACGGGTAAGCAATCCAATTGGTCTGAATTAATTGGCACATTGTCTATTGAAAAGATTGAAACTATGCCTGGAATGTAGTAAGGGGCTCATTTCCATAAGTTGTTAGCAGTTTTTAATCATGTTATTTTTTTGCACATTGATTATGTCTATTATGTCTATGTACTGGTTAAAAGTATCAGTCTCTGTTATGAGAACATTGACGATGCATGTATGAATTGAATCTTTGTTGTGGGAACAGCATTCACATGAGGTCAAGCATGCATTGACACAAAGAACTAGCTTCATTCTATGTGACCCATTAGTGAATAGGTGCCCCCAGTAGGACATGTAACATTCCTTGGTGTCATTTTTAAAAAGCCTGTCCCATTGTCGGTTTTTAGCTCCGCTGTCGACTTTGTCGAGCGGAGCTTATCATACGAGTGATTGTCCGTCTCCGTCGTCCGTGTCAATGTTTTACTTTTTCGACTTCTTGAAAACTACAAGCCTGAATGCTTTGATACTTGGTGTATATGTACCTTGGGTAGACCTCTCTTAGATTTGTTCATTTCATGATGATAGCTTTAATTCTCTAATTTTGGTGAATATTTTTGTCATTTTTGGTAAAAAGTGATATTTTCGACTTCTTGTTGAAAACCGCAAGTCCAATTGCTTTGATATTTGTCGCATACGACTTGTTTACCACTTTCGTGTTACCGAGAATGTTCTAGAGCCATGCTGTGTCTGGGTGGAATATTCTAGATTTTTTTAGAAACTGGTTGAATATGTAATATAACACTGTAGGAGGCAATAGAAGGTAATGGAACATTCTAGAAATTTATAGTAAGTTCCAGACTCATTATGTATGCTGATGTAATGGTCTATTTATAGACAGTGGTATAGGGGAGTTGTTCAGCACTGAGGTCAGATCGGAGATCTCATTGAATTGTATTTGAGTTTAAGTATCTAGTTATTGGAGTAGTGGAGTTTTACCGCGTTATTGTACTTGATGTTTGCAGAGTATAATAATACCAGTACCAGTTGAAACCTCATCTGTTGGCTCAGTGTTCGTATTTTATCATCGCCGCCAGGGAAGTCTTTCTGTTACTGTTGCCATTTTGGTATTTGAACCATCACACCTGTACTATACCAATTACGGTAATATTACGTTGAGTGTGACAATATTACATATATAGGTACTACATGTGGACCTCTCTCAGATTTGTTCATTTCACAATGATACCTTCAATTCTCTAATTTTGGTGAATATTTTTTTAATTTTTGGTAAAAAGTGATATTTTCGACTTCTTGTTAAAAACTGCAAGTCCAATTGTTTTGATATTACATATATAGGTACTTCATGTGGACCTCTCTCAGATTTGATCATTTTGTAATGATATCTTTAATTTTCTAATTTTGGTGAATATTGTTGTCATTTTTGGTAAAAAGTGATATTTTCGACTTCTTGTTAAAAACCTCAAGTTCAATTGCTTTGATATTACATATATAGGTACTACATGTGGACCTCTCTCAGATTTGTTCATTTCATGATGATATCTTTAATTCTCTAATTTTGATGAATATTTTTGGAATTTTTGGTAAAAAGTGATATTTTCGACTTCTTGTTGAAAACCGCAAGTCCAATTGCTTTGATATATTATACATATAGGTACTACATGTGGACCTCTCTCAGATTTGTTCATTTTCTAATGATATCTTCTGTTCTTTAATTGCCATGTGCATTGCTAACAGCGGAGCTACATTGTATCTCAGCCGACAGGCTGCTTGTTTTATAATTTTAACAATGTACAAAAACAAAAAACAACTAAATATGTACCTAGGTAGGTATAACTACATACAAATGTAGATTTATACTGCGCGTAGTGTTATGTTTTGAAAGAGTTGAACTAAATTACCTTGATTTCTTTAAATAAACTTGTATTCTAACAACTTTGATCATTCCACTGGATATTAAAGTAAATTGCATGATTTAGTTATACTTGCTGAAAATAAATATACCAAGGGTATATATTTTTTTCAAATGCTGTGAGCTTTCAACACACTGATTGCTTCTCTAATTACCCTGTACAAATAATACTAAAGCTTGTGCTGATGATTTCTAGCGTTTTGACTAGACTAGAGTGAAGAGTAGACTACTGTGCACAAATAGAAGCTATACTTTATGTATGTGTTTACAGATATCATTTTGTACAAGATTTTGCTGTATGCATGACAGTCGTACAATGTCAAAAGCCATACATATACCTAAATATTTTTTTGTGCCACCTAAATCTTCCAGGATATTGTAGATCAAATCCACTAGGGTCTTGAATGGTTTAGATATGTGTAACTAAGAAATGTACTTTGATAGTAATAAATTACTATGTGCTCTACCCAAATCTACTTGTAGTGGCTTGTATGGTTAGATAATGTAAATAATGAAGGTATTTTGATAGTAATAAATTACTATGAGCCCCACCCAAATCTACTGGTTGTTGCTTGTATGGTTAGATAATATAAATTATGAAGGTAGTAATAAATCACTGTGTGTAATGTCAACTTCTGCCTAAAAACAAAATTTGTAAATATAAAGAAATATTCTTGCCATAGAAACCAGCGTAAAAAAAGCAACTTTTGACCATTTTCTGACATTTTGGACTTTAATTTCACTCAGCTACAAATATTATTGGTTGATCATTCCCCACATACAAGCTGTGCTATGTACTGTGTATTCATTCTTGGCTAATCAACATCAGATCATCAACCGACTAACATCAGCTAGTTTATATGACCTACATGTGATAGAACATCTTGTCTTCTTGCACCTGTTTATGTGAAAAACTTTGAAACAGTTAATCTGGCAACAATATTTGTATCATCACATCTTATATTTTAATACCATTCAGTAACAGGATTCTATTTCTGTCATGCACTATACTGTTACATTTCAATAATCTGCCTCAAATAATTGACTTGAAAGTTTCTTTTTCTGAAATAAAAAAAAAATGAGTGTCTTCTTCTGTTGGATTGACCACCCCAATTTATTGGCAACTCTGTTGGTTACTATGACAAGGAAGTGTCAACAAAATTTAATATAACAGGTACCGCATGTTTCAAGTACATTGTAAGTTTATTGACTTTACTACAGGTAGTAAGTTATTACTGTTTTGGAGTAGAAAGGTACATTGTGCATATAAACAGTGATTTATTACACCTATCTTTAGGGGTCAGAGATCACATCTAGGGTAGTCACTAGTGGACAAATACAAATACCTTCACTATGGGACTTTGACATTATATGTATTTAGTACCTGGTCTCTCTAACCACTTGTACATTCCACACTGACAATTTGGTACCGAGAATGGTAAACTTTGTTACAAAGGTTGTAATTTGACTTGAATGGTATCAAAAGTTGACTCATTTTAGCAGTATTAAACATGGCCTTTCCCAATACATTCAACAATGAGTTACACATGTATAGATTCTAATCTGTAATGAGTTTGTAGGTGGCCAGGCTATCAGCTGTTGTTGTACAAGTAAAAGAAACAACCTCAACCTATTGATTTACAGTTTAAATTGCAAAATGCTTACAAACATCGCCCCCATTTTTTGGGTATGGACTTTTTTGTTTTGTTTAATGTGGATGTTCAACAAAAATAAAAATATATTTTGCCATAACCCAAAGTTTTGTTAATTGGACATTGAGTTACAAAAGTGGGCCTGGTTTCTGAAATATGGGCGTAGTCATTTTGTAACTAGATGTTTGACTAATATAGTGTCCAAAATAAACAATTGTACATGTATGTGCAGATCATTGGACTGATATAAGCTATAGTAATGCATGGTCTCATGTATCACTTGCCTGAAGACTAGGCGTAACCATCATGCACAAGCTGTTATATTATTCAACTCATTTTTATTCAGATTTTATTAAAAACATAATGAATTATTTCTTGTGTACATGTATATATAGGAAAAGTTTGGTTCTATAAGATTAATATTCAGATATCAATATTTTTTGGTTCTAGACTCTAGATTACGGAGTGGATTTACTTAACAAATACAGCAGCTGTCACAGATGTTCATATGACACACATTATAATGTAAAAATAGAACGATTTGGATTATTTGATATGAAATACTGTTCCTGCTAAATAATTCTGACTTCTTGGCATGTTTTGAGTGCTCTCTGCCTGATGGGACCACCATTTAAGTCAATATTTAACCCACTTTTATAGCAAACATAATGGTAAGGAGATTTGTTATCAGGCTAAACCAGACAAAGTAGGGCTTTAAAGTTATGTTGTCAAATTAAATCTAGTTGAGCCTCGAATCCAGGGGATCTTATTACACCAACCGTGGAATTTGAATGGCCAGGTCATAGTTAAATAAACCAGGTAAATTTCATTGGCCCATGTCATACATTTAGCTTTTTCACCACAAGCTCCCTATGGAAAGATCCTGTCATCAACCAGTTCCTAACAGAAAAGGGCAGCATTTGACGCATCTGTATTTGACCGGGCAATACTAAGACATCTCCAATCATCTTGTATCATACCTCATTTGAAAGCTGATATTCACGAGTACATTTACATGTATGCTACCAACGATTCAATCAATCTCTCACTCAATTCATTGTTTCAAAATATGAAATATATTGTATACAAGATAAAACATCAAACATTATTGAAAGATGGATGATGTTAAAAATGAGCTTGTTAAAATCATGACAGAATTTGTAAATAAGAATAAATTGTTGCATGTCATTTGTAAGTTGATGATTCTACACCATGCTGACTACCAAGAAACTATCATGGGTGAAGAAGTGCCAGATTTTGTTAAAAATAGCGTCGTCTATGATGCGAGTTCCACAGCGTCGTCTATGATGCGAGTTCCACAGCGTCGTCTATGATGCGAGTTCCACAGCGTCGTCTATGATGCGAGTTCCACAGCGTCGTCTATGATGCGAGTTCCACAGCGTCGTCTATGATGCGAGTTCCACAGCGTCGTCTACGATGCGAGTTCCACAGCGTCGTCTACGATGCGGTTCCCACAGCGTCTATGATGCCAGTTCCACAGCGTCGTCTACAATGCGGTTCCCACAGCGTCGTCTATGATGCGAGTTCCACAGCGTCGTCTATGATGCGAGTTCCACAGCGTCGTCTATGATGCCAGTTCCACAGCGTCGTCTACAATGCGGTTCCCACAGCGTCGTCTATGATGCGAGTTCCACAGCGGCGTCTATGATGCGAGTTCCACAGCGTCGTCTATGATGCGAGTTCCACAGCGTCGTCTATGATGCGAGTTCCACAGCGTCGTCTATGATGCGAGTTCCACAGCGTCGTCTATGATGCGAGTTCCACAGCGTCGTCTATGATGCGAGTTCCACAGCGTCGTCTATGATGCGAGTTCCACAGCGTCGTCTATGATGCGAGTTCCAC